ACTGATGGTACACTTTGTGCCTGCTGCTGTATCCTGAAATGCACCAGCAGCTCTATGTTTTCAGGCTGGAATACAATTGTAGAATATGTGGTGGGAATGGTGGAAGAAAATACTTTTGCATCATCCTTGGCTCTGATGTCGTAAGGCTTGCCAAGGTTCGGAGTGCTGCGTTTTTAAAATAGCACACTGCTGTGGGAAAATCATTCCAGCACAATGTGAGTATCTCGCCTCCTGAAAAACGTCGTCATGGACTCCAATCTGTCATTTCAGCGAGTTGAATATTTGAATTCGGCCTCCGCTGACTGTGAGCCCCCAACTCCCAGCATCCTCTGCTTCCCGCTGTTTCTTCCAACTCAGAGAGAGCAGGCGTGGAGGGTTTTTTTGTTGCGTGTGTGTGTGTGTCTGTGTGTGTGATTGGGCCAAATTTTCTGCTCCAGTTTTCCAGCCTGTCCGCTCAGCCCCCTGCACTCGCCTGCTGCAGTTTGGTGAAACAGACTCATCTTAAATCAGCCAGCTGGATGGCAGCAGGAGGAAGTGTTCAGGCCTGTGTTATAAATTATAGCGTTGCATTCATGTTGGGAGCACACAGGGCAGTTAGCTCACTGACATACTTCACTGTATTAATACACATATCACTGGGCTGAGATAGTTTTAAGCGATATATTCTCACAATTATTTATGTAGCAATTTTACAACACACCTTACAGAAAGCCCAATCGATCAAGGATGGTTTCTGCTGGGATAGTTTTGCGTAGACAAACCCATCTCCAGAGCGCTGTACGTGTCAGTGCTAGAGAAAGGTCTGTAAGCACCTTGTTATCATTCTGCTATAGGGGGAAAATGCTCTGGTTTGTTTTTGTTTCTTTAAACCAATCACAATCGTCCTGGGTGGTGCTAAGCCCAGGATGCAGTGACGATGCTCTTGCAAAATAACGTAGGGGGAACACACACAGTGACAGGGCTAACTGTTAGCATCAAGTGGATATGCTACAGTTACTGACAGGTTTAACGACAGAGTGAAGCCATTTCAGTGTTGGTGTAAGTTTGGGGTCCATGTCATTGGTTCGACAGCCCATTGGTTCGACATCCCATTAGTCCGACTGTCCGCGGTGCTGATCGGCTTGCGGTGGGCGTATGGTGCACCGCGACCGGCTTGAGGTGGAGCAGGCTCACTGCTTATGTGTTTGTCACTTTCTTTTTCATTTTAACCCACACCATGATCTTTTCCTGACCCTAACCAAGTGGTTTTTGTGCCTAAACCTAACCAGACCTTAACCACAGGGCATCATGATGATTTCGGAACGGACTTCGGAACAATGAGTTTAATATGGTCGGAACAATGGGATGTCGAACCAATACGCAGTTCCCGTAAGTTTGTTAGGATCGTTTAACGTCTCAGTGTCGGATGTTAGCACTGCTGCGGTGTTAGCTCATGCTAAATGGGCAAAATCGCCAGGAGGAGAGCAGCTACGTTGACAGGGACAGAAAGTTTGCTGATCTGGCAGGCAGTCGGTCTGGGATCAGACCCCAGTGCAAAAAGGATTGAATTTTGGTGTCGTTTGACTGGAGACATTTTGAAAGATGTGGCAAATCAACTCAGAAAACAGAGGAACATCGGGCATGAGAGTCCTGCGGGATGGAGTCTGGGCTTTTCCAAGGCATGTTCACAAGTTGTTTTATTCGTTGTAGATCTTCACAACAATTCACCGAAAGAACAATACAGGCAAGCAGTATTGCAGAAATCCATAAGTTGTTAGCTCGGAGGTTGTTGTTTCCCAAAGTGAAGAGGATTTTGAAACCAGCAAAATGCAGGTAGCAGAATAGCCACAGTCCACATCTGGTCAGTCAGACTTGTACTGGAACCAACAGCCCCTTTTACACCGCCAGATTTTCCACAAATGTTGGGCCATTTTGCCGGCAAGCTGCGAGCGTTTAGACACACAGAGCCGAGGTGCCAATTTTCCGCCACGTAGGGGTAAAATATTGGCGAAACCTTTTTGGTTTAAAAAGAATGAGGTGCCCTTCTGCCACAGGAGGGGCTGTTGATGACTTGTGGGAGGAGCTGTTGATGACGCCACACGTGTGACCCACTGGCAGTGGATAAACAGGAAACAGCTGATAGCAGGAATTAGCGAGCAGCTAGTAGCAAGAGGGAAACGCAAACCTGACAGACATTGTAAAGATGAGCAACTGGGGAGACAAGGAATTGCGCGCCCTCCTTGTTCTCGCAAACAAAGAGGCCATTAACCGTCAGATGACGGGGACGGTGAAGGACGGGCCGCCTTACGAGAGAATCGCTGAAGGACTGACCAGCCGCGGCTTCCCTCCCACGTCACTGTTTACGTCACACGCTGAGCTACA